TGCAGTCCCAGGCCCAACGCGGTGGCGCACACGGCCTACATGCCCTCCCTGACGGCCCACAGAGAGGGCGCAGCAAGAATCGAAGACAGAAAGTGAGGAAAGAAGGAAACTTCTGGCAAGAGTCTGGCAGGATCACCAACTCCTCCTTGGAGTTCGGTGCACCCATTTATATTTTACCTTAAAATGCAAGTCTGGTCACGTTACTTCCTGCTTTAAAACCCATCTGAGGCCACCACCACCCCACCCCACCCCTGCCAAAAAAAACCCAGAAGTGCCTTCCACCTATCTGGAGTGATGTGTACACTTCCTTCCCATCCAGGCCCTGCCTACTGGCACCCTGAACCCCTCTCCCCGCTGACTGACCCATGCTCTCTGATGCCCCAGGACCCGCTCTCACCTCCACCGCCCTGTTCAGCTCAAACAGCATCTCAGATAAATATGCAGTCTTGCCAGGGCCAGCGCCAACAGCTGCAACCCCAGCACGCCGGGAAGCTCAGGAGCACAAGCTCAAGCCCAGCCCCACTTAGTGACTTAGTAAGACCCTGTCTCACAATCAAAAATCCAAAAAGGGCTGGGGAAGTAGCTCAGTGCAAAGGCCCTGGGTTCCATACCCAGGGTCTGTCTGCCTCTTTGTCTCTGTCTCTCTCTCTCAGAAGTACCAAAGAGTATTCCCTATTATTCTCTACCACACAGCTGCCTGTTTTCCTTCTGGCTGCTTCCCACACTGTCACTGCTTTCCCTATTTCCTGCTTTCCTGGCCAACTGTCCATGCAGTGAGGAGGGACCACTTTTCTACCTTACTCTCTGCCTGATTTAAAAGGCTACCAGGGCCGGAGATTTAGCTCAGCGGCACAGCGCCTGCCTAGCAAGCACAAGGTCCTGAGTTTGATTCCTGCTACCAAAAAAATAAAAATAAATAAATAAATTTTTAAAAGGCTATGAGAGTACCTGGCACAGTCCTGGGAACTTGATATCTGCTAAACAGATGAATCTATATTTTCAAAGATAATTGTGGCTACCAACTCCCCGCAGTAAATAGAATCATTATGTACTGCAAATGAGTACTAATACAAATTTTAAATGTTTTTTAAAAATAAAGTAACTCGGGGCTGGGGATTTAGCTCAGCAGCACAGCGGTTGCCTGGCAAGTGAGAGGTCATGAGTTTGATTCCTGGTACCAGAAAAAAAAATAAATAAATAAAATAAAAATAAAGTAACTCTAGCAAGGGACCACAGAGAATGGTAAGAGGTATTGAGAGTACGCAGCATTAACTGCTATGGTCTGAACATTTTCACCCCTCCCAGGCTCAGGTTGAAGCCTCATATCCAATGCGACAGTGTGAGGCTTTTAGGAGGTGACTGACTAGGTCATGAGGGCTCCACCATCCTGGATGAGATGAGCACCCATAGAAGAGGTTTCAAACCCAGCGTGGTGGCACAAGCCTGCAATCCCAGGACTCAAGGGAGAAGGCAAGAGAATAGCAAGTTCAAGCTCAGCCTGGGCAACTTAGCAAGCCTCTGTCTTAAAATTTAAAAAAATTAAAAAGGGCTGGTATAGCTCAGCGTGGAGGCCCTAGATTCAATCCACAGTGCTGCAAGCAAAAAAATAAAACAGGCTTGACACAGCCTGTCTGCCCCTTCTGCCATGAGAGGGTACAGCAAAGTGGCGTCTTTAAATCAGGAACAAACGCTCACCAGTCACCGAATCAACAGGGGTGCGCTGATCCTGGACTTCCCAGCCGCCAGCGGTGTGAGCAAAAAATGTGTTGCTTATTAACCGTCAGTCCAACGTATTTTATCATAATGACCAGACTGGACCAGGACAGTGACTACAACCCATGCATTCAGCACTAACGAAAACCACCATTTCCAAAGGTTTTCTTTCTTTTGGACAATTATACAATCACACTGATTAACCAATGAACACTTAATTAGACTTAGGTACTGCTGACAGCCTACATGCTGACTGAACTGGGACTCTGTGTGTTTCATATGGTGCACAGTCTCATTTGTCCTGGCACCTCCTGCACAAGGCAGAGCCCCAAGTATGCCTCTGGACTATTCCTGGGGCTGCCAGGCCACTTTCATCTCCTCACGCGGTCTTCAAATGCAAAAAGTACAGGTTACTACTGCGACTCTACATCAAAGGCCCTCAGTACTGACCTCACTTAAGAATCCTTTAAAATGATGAAAAAGCCAGGTGCAATGATGCATGCCCATAATCCCAGTGGTCAGGAAGGAGGCTGAGGCAGGGGCATTGTCACAAGTCTGAGGCCACCCTGGACTACATAAAGGGTTCAAGGTTAGCCTGCGCTACAAAATGAGAGCTTGTCTCCAAAAACAAAATGGAGGAAACTTTAAAAAAAAAAAAAAAAACAAACCCAGACCTATTATATCAGAATGTATGGGGATAATGTTGGTGTTGTTTACAACTCCTCAAATGACTCCTATGGACAGCAAAGTTAGAGAACCACTATTTCTGAGAAAAGTCCAAGTATGTAGAGACCAGGCTGGGTGTGATGGCACATGCCTATAATCCCAGCACTCAGGAGGCTGGGGACAGGAGGATTAGTGCAAATTCCAGGCCAGCCTGGGCTACAAAGTGAGTTCAAGGCCAGCCTGAACTGCATAGTGAAAACCCTGTCCCAAAAAGATTTTTTAAAAAAATGTAGAGAACAACCCTTACTTACCTTTCTTACAGTCACAGAATCCAATACTGATCTTAAAGATAAGAGCTGGCTCTACCAAAACGAAACACCCTATAAATAAACACTACTCTAGAGATGCTCATTACGCATAATTTTCTGAATTATTGCTTTAACCAGTAAATGTCCTTCATTGGAATTTTAATAGTTTTCCAGCCTCTATTAAGGTTATTACAAATATCACTATGTTTCAGAATATTCCAAATGAAAAGAAAGTGTATAGACTTAAGAGAACACAACATATGTCTAACATATGTCATCTACCTCCTTGCCTACTCAGAAATATAACCATCTCTACTGTTTCACAGAATCTCCAGCAAGACACAGAAACATTCAGCTTCTCATAAGTAAAAACAGCCAATAACATCCAGTTGATTTTGCAGAAAATGAATAAATGGATGAGCAACTACAGGCAAATGATAAAGCTAAAATGGGTTGGCTTGAAAACACTTTAAAATATGACTAACGGGGGAGGAAAAGGGACCTAAAAAAGAATTTAGATGTGTCATGTATATGTACCCAACACCCACAATGAAAGTAGCCCTTAGGCACTGCAAACATGTACTATTAAATACTTTTTTAAACTGTGACTGAAACTGGCCCCTGCTAGGATTAATCTGCTTCGGACCATGTTTCTCTGTAGATCTGTTGCTATCTCTAGTCACAGCTGCTTTCATGCATATCCACAAGTCTCATCTAGAAAGAGATTTTTAACGTTCCTACAGCTCTCAAGATAATCTAATCACACCAGCAGAGGTTGTTCCTCATGCGATTATGTACCAACTGGCTATGACGTAGAAAAAGTTTGATTTTTAAAAATTTGTGTCCTTTGCTGGTTTAATATCAAGCCACAAAACACTTACAAAATTGTCACTCAAGGTTTGTCCTACATGTGATCAATAAAATAGAAATCACACACCTGAAAAGGGCTTCAGAAACCTCCTTTTTCAAGAAGTGCCAGTAGAACACAGCAACAGGAGGAGGAGCGCACCAATGGCTACTCTGTTGCTGCAGCCTCGGTGTTTACTTTGAAAACATTCCAGTTTTCAAAGGGTTGTGTATAAATTGTAATACCCCATCTGCCAGTAGATTAAATTTTTACGGGAAGTTACTATTCTTGTGCTTTTCGCCTGGCTGCCTTTGGGTCTCTGGTGTACAGGTAAAACCCAGATGGTGTGTGAGCGGGTAATGCTGAGGAGGCTGTGTGTTCTTTCCAACTTGACCAGTGAGGAAGGATGTCGTTTCCTAAGCGAGCAAGGTCCTAAACTTTCTGCAGTATGACTAAGTATCCGTACAAGGTCAATAAAGTAACAGCTACTTATGCCACTGCAATTTAAAATCATAACATCTTCCAAAGTGTTTTCTTCCTTCTGGCCCTATATTAAATTCTAGTCTGATCGACGATAGATATAAGGTATAATGATAGCTTGTCTTAGTTGCCCAACTAAAACTGTTTTATTTTTATTCCTAAGGTTGAAGAAACATGCAGAAATCAACTGAATGATACCCAACAGCTTCCTTGGAGAATAAAACAAAACTCACTTGTGGAGAGACATAATTACTATTTGAATAAATCGAAATAAGAAGCTGTAGAATATTTTTGAAATGAACACACTATGAAATAAAAACTTTATCCTAATGTTGTAAGACTCGTTTTTAATTTAGTTAAACTATGTAACCAAGAGGATATATTACCAATATATTTTATAAGGTCCGTCAGCGTTAGCGTTTCCCGAATTTGCCAACAGTAACCGACCTTTTTAAAAATAAAAGTCAAAATTCTCCCTCTTGTCAGCGTGGTAGTTGGTGCCTGTAACCTCAGCACTCTGGGAGGCTGTGGCAGGAGGATCACAAGTTTGAGGCCAGGGCAGGCAACTCATTCACTTAGCAAGACCTTGTCTCAAATTTTTTAAAAAAACTATAAAAAGCTGAAGATGTAGATCGGTGTGAAAGCCCTCGTTTCAATCCCTCTTACTGGAAGGGGAGGAGTTTTCTGAATTACGGAAATTCTAGGTGATGGGGACTTTAATGTCTGTCTGTGTCAACATATGGTGAACCATCCATGGGAATTATGGTTGGGAGAAGCAGTCAGGTCCCCGGACCTTCTGAGATCTCTCCGCGGACAGACGGCGGAGCTGCGCATCCAGAAGAAGGCGCACAGCGGATAGTAAAATCCGATGGAGAACACCCCGCCCTTGGGCGCTGGTTCTGCGCTCCGCCCGGGAGGTGGGACCCGCAGCCCCGGACGGCAGAGGGGGGCCGCGAGGGGAAGGGGCGGTCGCGCGGGCCACTTACGAGACGTAGGCTGGATAGCCGAATCCTATCAGGTTGCAGAGGAGAGAGGCTCCATAACCGAACACCAGGTACAAGGCCAGCAGCCCGATGACACCTGGGGACGCGAGAGCAGAAGTGGGTCGGGGCCCGAGGCGCGCGGGGCGCCCACCCGCGGGCTCGGCCTGCGCCGGGCCTCTTCCTCCTCGATGAAAGCGAGAAAACCACGGGGAGGCTGGGCCCGCGCCGCCGCGGGGCGCTGCCGCGGCTCCGGGGGACCGCAGCCCCCACGCTGGGCCTTCCCGTCCGGCGGACCCGGGGCGCTCGGGACCCTGGCACAGCCCGCAGCCCCCTCCCGGAAGCTCTGGGGAACGGACGGACGAACACACAGACA